GATCATAGAGATACTGAAATAGTTGGGACAATTGACAAGTGTGAGTTGGTGGAAAGACTGGTTCTCATCTAAACAGTGGCAAATTCTGGCATAACCAGAGCTGAAAAGGCTGAGATCAAATTTATTCAGTTTTGCTTATCTGCTCCCAAAACTGATATGAATAATCAAACAGTAGTTTGTACTGTGCCTGAACCAAGGGCTGCAAGAAGAGGCAGCCTGTATTTTTAATTTAGTGAAGCAAATTTTTTTAAAGGTATAATATCCTTCTCACACAGAAATCTATCCTAAGACATGCTCTTAGTGATCTTACAACCCATATTCTGAACAAAATGAATATTGTGGTGATTAGGATATTGAAAGAGAAGACAATTCACTGGTAAAATAACTGGAACCAAGTTAGTTGCTCATAGTGACCAATTCACTGCTACCATGCTGGGTTCAGCTGAGTTAGCTGAGGAGATCAATTTAAGTGATTCTGGCAAACTTCTCAAGATGACAGGCTGGATAAGCCCTGGAAAAACAGTTACAGTTGTTTGTGGTTCTAACTGGAGATTAAAGAAACCACACACTCTGTTCACCATGTCCTGTGTGTTACTCTTTCCTTGGTGAAAAAGAGAGCTCTTATTACTGGAGGTGGTTCTCCAGAAATAGATTGGCCTGATGATTAATTGACTGGTATGGAATTTCACCGGTGGTGTGGATTTCCACTGAGTGGTATGGAGTCCTACTGCATTCATTCATACTTTTGCAGATGCTGTGGAGGTCATCCCATTGATGCCATTTCTACAGTAACAAAACTAAAAGACCAGTATCCCCTAGGAGAAAAAAACAGAGACAATATTGCCTGAAAGGGTGATATTTCCAATGTTCTGGAGGAAATTGTTGTCCAGCTTCTGTTGGTTTCGGTCAGTGCTCCCACCCCAGCAACTCTGAAAATTGATAATGTGGCCAACACTCAGTAATCTGGATAACACTGGCTGACTGCCACCATTATGGCCACCAATACTGCAACTGGAGTGGAAGATCACTTGGTCTTCCCTGTTGTTCAGAAAATCATTTCCTCTATGAGTGTCTGGACTTGGCTTTCCAGGTGGCGTTTGCTTGAACCTAACCTGCTTAATGAAAATATTTTAATTTCATTAAATATTTAATATTTAAATGTCAGATTAATTCACCCTCAACATTGTATTATTTCTGGTACTTTTTTTGTTATATGTAAAGTTCTTTTTTATTGGTTTTTTTTTTTAGTTATACATGACAGTAGAATCCATTTTGATATAATTATACAAGTATGGAATACATCTTATTCTAATTAGGACCCCAATCTTGTGGGTATACACAATGGTGAGATTCACTGTGGTGGACTCATATATGTACACAGGAAAGTTGGGTCAGATTCATCCCACTGTCTTTCCATTTCCTAGTCCCCCCTCCCTTCTCTTCATTCCCCTTTGTCTAATCCACTGAATTTCTATTCGTCCTCTTCCCAACCCTCATTGTAGATTAGCTTCTACAGATCAGAAAAAAACATTTGACCTTTGGTTTGGGGGGGGGGGACTGGTTTATTTCACTTAGCATGATAGTCTCCAGATCCACCCATGTACCAGCAAATGTCATTTTTTGAATAATTATATGAGAATTAAAAAAATAAGTTCACCTTTACTTCTGGCTTTCTTGTGGATTAGCCCTGAATACTTTCCTTCACTTTGCACTCTACACAGGCATTTGTCCGTTCCATTAATTTAAGTTTTTTTTTTTCCTTAATGAGGAAATTAGCCAAAACAGTCACAGTCTCTACAAACAGCACCTGTTTTTATCAAAATAGTGAGCACTGAGTGAGCTCATGGAGCAGGAGCAGTGAGGCCTATTCCTGACACTTTCCTTTGGGCCTCAAATTCTTTTTTTTTTTTTTTGAACAAAGAAGTATTTAGAAGAGGATGTGGCCCAATATGCTGAATACTGATAAACACCCACTGGCATAAAAAAAATCAAAGCAAAATATTATCTGCTATTTTAGAAATTAACAGTACAGAAAGATACAAAGTAAAAGATGAAATTCCCCCTGACCCTACCCTCCTAATTCCTTTCCCTCAGAATAACCTCTGTTGGTTATAATTTCCTCTACGAATAAAAATTATGTATATGTGTAGCAAATCTTAGATGAAAAATAAATAAATGATGATCAAATTTAAAAGTCAGAGAAATAGAAGACACAATAAATAAAAGTAATACATAACATCAAAAGAGTATCTATAAATCAACAAGAAAATACAGATATCTCAATTTTTTAAATTGAGAATGGACTTAAAGACTGAGTAGAAAAATACAATGCAAATGCCAATGAGTATGAGCAGATGCTTAACTTCAAACTAATCAAAGAAATGCAAATTTAAAATTCCATTCTTTACCAATGGAGGAAAATTTATAAACATTGATAATATGAGGAGAAATTTTCTTTCTCAGAGTGAGAAGGGGACTTCCCTTTTTCTACTCCTTGAAGGAAACACTGATGGCTTCCTGTTTCCACCCCTTCCCTTCCTCACCCATTCCAGGATGGGAGAAGGTTAGACAGAACCTGCCCTTCACTGGACTCAGCTAATTAGTGTTTTTAAAAATATGCCTAAATGTTTTGCATGGTAACACTACATATAACACTAGACTTATATTAATAGTTCAAACTTTTTGTCCCTAAAGTATAAGAATGAAGACAGTGTTAAAATGCTGTTTTCTCTCCATCGCAGGTGTGGATAGAATTAATTCCCAACCAATGAAAAGGCAAATTGGATGTAATCATTTCTATTTTTTCTCTCTTAGCCTTGGTTTTCAAATTGTTTGGGACATCTGGATATGTGTTATGTGTGAATGTTGTTTAGATAATTTCAATAAAGATCTAGTTTAAATCATCTTGAAATAAACTTGCAAAAGTATTATCATTATCAGGCTCCTTATTAACATGTATTTCAACATCAATTTCCCCAATGCTTTCTGTACTTGACCAGCAGTCAATTGTGCGTATAAATTAAACAATGTATGATTAAGAGTAAACAGATTAAAATTCCAGGCAGCATCTTCATCGTGCTGGCTCGTGAGCCAAGTGAGAAACCACTGGGTCACAAGCTCTCCTCGGATCTCCACGAGCAGCTCGACTTTCTCATGCAGAGGGTTCTTCGTGTTCCATTTCAAGGGAACAAATATTTTTAAATGAATTGATTAATTTAGAAAGAGGAAAATCAAAACGGGTTTCTAGTTTTAGACAAGATGTGAAATGAGCATGTGGTATTGGCGTCTGCTGGAGCCCAGCTAGAGATGCTAGAGGGGTAAGAGGGATGGGTGCAGATAAACACCAATAAAGCCACAGAGAACTCTGAGGTGGCTGAGGTGTTGGGATCTCAGAGCAGCAGCCACACAGGGACAGGTTCCCTCCAAGGGGAAGGCTCCAGATGGGTTGGTCTCCTTTCTCCTTTTACTTGGGTTAGATCATTACCCTCTCTCTTCCCATCTTTGTTATTGTTATTGTTGTTTATTTTTTTTAATAAGGTGAGAGTCACATAACAAAAAAATTGACCATTAAAAAGTGTACAATTCAGTGACATTAAGTACATTCACATTGTTGTACACCCCTTTCCTCTATCTAGTTCTGAAACATTTCCCCACCCACAAAAGAGACCCTGTGACAATTCAGCAATCACTTACTGCTTCCCTTTCCCCCAGATCCTGTCAACCATGAATCTGTTTTCAGTGTCTATGAATTAACCTACCCATACAATTTGAGTCATACACTATGTGATCTCTTGTGTCTGGCTTCTTTCACTTAGAACAATGTCTCCGAATGATTATCCATGTTGTAGTATGGGTTGGTCCTTTGTTTTGTTCTGTTTTACTAGTTGAATAATATTCCACTATACTGCATCTTGTTTACCCATTCATCTATTGATGGACTGTGGGGAGCCATTCTCACGCATGACTGGGTGACTCCCAGTTTGGGTCTGAGGCGTTCTGGCTGTGTCAGAACTTTCCCGGCCCTTTCCTGATGAGAGAACCCGTCTGTGTGGGGGTGTGACTGACCACTGACCCCGGCGGCCCAATCACTGACCCTGACCTTGGAGTGCGGCCCCCCCCCAACCTTCACTGGATGGAATTATCCCCTGAATTTCTTGTTCCCCAATAAAAGGCTACTCCCTGGCGTGTTCACTCTCTCTCTCTCTCCTGCTAGCCCTGAGTAATCCTTGCTGCCCTGCTGGGTGGTTAGAGGAGGGAACCAGAGAGGGGAGCCGTCTCGGACCTGGCAATAGAAAAAGGTAACTGAGTCTGTGTGTTTTATTTCGATCTCTTCTAGCTAACTTTTATGCCAAGAACCTCATTAATGAAACCATTGCGCTGGCCACATGGTGGAATTGGCGCCCACGAGGGGGGCATTCTAGATTAGTTAGATTGAGTGGGAGCGCGCTATAAAGATAAGGATAAAAATTAAGATAAAGGAAGTGGTGACAATTTAGAGTCACAAAAGTACCTGGAGATATTGAAGGAAAGAGATGTTAAATTAATTAAAATGGGAAATTCAACTTCTATGGATAAGGAAATGTATCTGACTATTTTAGACAGTATAATTAATCAGAAAGGAAAACAGATAAAGAAAGCTCAGTTATTACAATTCTTAAAGATTGTAGGCGAATATTGTCCTTGGTTTTGTGAACAAGAGTCTCCAAATTTATCTACTTGGGAGAAATTAGGAAGAAAGTTACAAAAGGTTTATTTTTCTAATGAACTACCTTGAGGCATAGAAAGTATTCAGAAAATTTGGACGGCTCTGGAAGTTTGTCTTTTTGAGTATATGGGTCAAAGTTAGTGGCCCCCTGAAGACCTGTTAAAAGGCTTGCAGAGGGCTATTAAGTCTATTCAAATGGAAAATCCGCCTGAGGCTAAGTTAATTCCTTTTCCCTTAAGCCGTTTAAAAACAAAGACGCTAGGGGCCAAACCGAAGGTTAGGAATGTGACTTTAAACTTGCAAGACCAGGCTAGCCCGCAAGGAGATTCTAGGGACGAATATCATAGAGGACAAACCTCCGAAATCTTAGAAAGCCCTCTGGAAGAGGTAGAGGATCTTCCTGGGGAGGAGAATCCGGAAGAGATTCCTAGAAGGGCTCAGAGTTCTTCTCCGCCACCTGGCTTAGAAACCCAAATTCAAAATGGTGATAGTGCAGAGTCTGACCATGACTCGCAGTCTGAGGGAGAAGAATCAGACATGGAAATTCAGGACTTACAGAGGAATCTTAACAGGCTGCGTTTAACACCACCTGCCCAGGCTATTCGAATTCGGCCAGTGCCTGCTAAAAGGACAAAATTTAACAGGTACGCTGGATTAACAATGACTTTTCTTACCCCAGTCCAGCGAGGTATTAAGAAAGCACAGGAAGATGGGGAAGATACTAGCGGTTTTCACCTTTTTCCAGTTTTTGAGCAAGTTAATGAGCAAGATAAGAGGGTTAGAGTTCATGCTGTAATCCCATTTAAAACCATTAAGGAACTAAAAAGTGCATGTGAGACGTATGGTCCAAATTCCCCTTTTGTACAGAGCCTGATAGAAAATATTTGCTCACAACCCCTTCCTCCTAGCGATTGGATTTCTTTAGCCAGATCTTGTCTGAGTGGGAGAGATTTCTTACTTTGGAGGACTTATTGGACTGATTTTTGTACTGAACAGGCAGAAAAGAACAAAAGACAGGATATAGAAACACCAATAGAGATGTTTCTAGGGACCGGTGATTTCTCTGATTTAGAAAGACAGTTAAATTATGATTTTGTAGTATACAATCAAATAACTGATTGTGCAAAACGTGCTTAGAGACATATCGTCTCCAAGGACCAATCCAATTTAGTTCTTACCAAAATCAGGCAAGGTGCGAGTGAACCTTACTCAGATTTTGTAGCCCGATTGTATCAGGCTGCAAACAGGTCAATCGGGGACTCAGGAGCGAGCGAATTCATTGTTAGGCAATTGGCATTTGAAAATGCAAATAAATACTGTCAGGATATTCTCAGGCCGCACCGTAAAAAAGGGACAGTTTCTGAGTTTATCCACTTATGTTCTGACATAGACTCTACTCATTTACAAACAGTAGCCCTAGCTGCGGCACTAAAGGAAACTTTGAGTCCACAGGATTTAAGACAAAAGTCCCTCGGGAGATGTTACGTTTGTGGGAAAAATAATCACTTTGCGCGGGAGTGTCGCATGCGCGATTTTAAGTTCAGGGCTCCATCTACTGGCGATAATAGATATTGCAGGGCTCAGCCCCATGCGGTAGATCCAGATGGAGCGGATGAGCCCGCCTTCTTGTCATCATTTCTGCCTGGCCGGAATACAAACTTCCATTTGGCCCGCCCCCGGGCCGAGAATGAGGAAGTAGGTGGTCGCGCAATGTGACGTCATCGCGCCGACCATGGGGGCCGCCATCTTTGATTTTACTGGAGCGAAACAAGCAGTTTCCGTACAAACCCCTAATGATTTTCAAGGCTTTTAAGAGATATTAATTGGCTGAAGCCATCCTTAAAACTAACTACTTCTGAGTTAAATCCTTTATTTCAGATATTACAAGAAAATCCTTCTCCACCCTCTCCACATCAGCTAACCTTAGAGGCTAGAATAGCTTTAAGGAGAGTTGAACATGCAATTAAAAATGCACAGCTTACTAGAGTTGATCCTAAAGAAATAGTGTATTTGTTAATATTTCCAACTGAGCATACCCCAACAGGAGCCATATGGCAAAGATTAGGAGTTATTGAGTGGATTTATTTATCCCACTCTCCTCAAAAAACATTAATTCCTTTTCATGATTCTATACCTCAATTAGTAATTAAGGGCAGAACTCGGATTTTACAATTAATTGGATCTGAGCCTGATATCATAATTATTCCATTTTCCGTTCCGCAGACTAATTGGCTTTTTCAAACTTCTAGCTCATGGCAGATAGCCTTTGCTGATTTTCCTGGCCAGATAGATAGCCATTATTCTCGTGATAAGATTATACAATTTGCATCATTAACGTCACTTATTTTTCCAAAGGTTGTACGTGCACATCCTATAGATGAAGCTTTATCAGTGTTCACGGATGGTTCTAACTCAGGTAAAGCAGGTTTTTATAGTCGTGTTCACACAGAGGTAATACAAACTTCTTATACTTCTGCCCAAAGAGCAGAGCTTCAAGCTCTGATTTGTGCCTTAAATTACTATTTTAATGAGCCTATTAATATTTATTCTGACAGCTTATATGCAGTCGGAGTTACTAAAAATATTGAAACTTCAGTTATTGGGTATACTTCATCACAGGAGTTATTTGAATTATTTCATAATTTACAAAAGACAGTGCTAATGCGAAAGTACCCATGTTTCATAGGGCACATAAGGGCTCATACTAATTTTCCAGGACCCTTAGTTTCAGGTAATGACAAGATTGATAAATTAGTAACTTTTTGTCAACAGATGTCTTAATATGACTGTGCACTAGCTTCCCATTCCTTGCATCATCAAAATGCTTCTAGCTTACGTAAAAAATTTAATATTACTAGAGAACAAGCTCGTCAGATTGTAAGCCAATGCCCTAAGTGTGTTATTCACACTCCATCTCTGCCATCAGGGGTAAATCCCCATGGATTAAAACCAAATCAAATATGGCAAATGGATGTAACTCATATTCCTCAGTTTGGTAAACAATGTTATGTGCATGTCATAGTGGACACTAATTCTAGATTTATTTTTGCCACAGCACGTACTAAGGAAAATACTCAACATGTAATTTCTCATTGCCTAGCAGCTTTTTCTGTTCTAGGGTGCCCTATATAGATTAAAACAGATAATGCTCCAGCTTATGTAAGCTCTTCTTTTCAACAATTTTGCCAAGAGTTTAAAATTAATCATAAAACAGGAATTCCTTATAACCCTCAAGGTCAAGCCACTGTGGAATGAGCTCATTTATCTATTAAGCTTCAATTACAAAAATTAAAGGGGGTGAATAGGTTTATGACTCCCCAAAATAGCCTTAATCATGCCTTGTTTGTTTTAAATTTTTTAAACTGTGACACAGAAGGTCACACTGCTGCTGAGAGACAAATGTCTCCCTCAGTAACAGGCCCTTTAGGCAGAGTTTTGTGGAAAGATTTACAGACTGGTCAGTGGAAAGGCCCGGACCCGGTGATGATGTGGGGCAGAGGTCATGCTTGTATCTTCCCAGAAGGCGCATTCCATCCTATTTGGGTACCTGAACGTGCTATCAGACATGGAAGAGATAGAACCCAGATTCAAGTGACTGAGGATCGACCCAGATGAGCCCCTATCCAGAAGGAGGAGATATCGGAAAAGGATGAAGAAAGACCAGATTGACCCAGCCGAAAAGCTGATTTCATGGGAAGACGTGAAGAAGCTAACAACCCAGGCTTCCCGAATACTTCGACACCTAGGAGAGAACAGGACCCCAGTGATGATGGTAGCAACAGTAATTGCCCTGTTGGGCTGTCAGGTAAAGGGGGATCAAGTAGACATTTACTGGACATATTTCCCAGATCTACCCCTGGTACACCCAGCTGTGTGGACAGGAGAATCTATTCCAGTATTTACTAATGACTCATTCATGATGGGAGGATTTACAGATACTCATATTATTCCCAATCATGTGATTAGATTTAATTATTCTGGCTACAGTGCCCAATTACCGTTGTGTTGGTCACACGATAAACATGCTGGCTGTCTGAAAGTATCATTCGAAGAAAAGACAGCGATTGGTGTACCTAGACTGACAAATAATTCTATTTATGGGGACTTAAGACCTTATACTAGATCAGTAATTAAGATGGGACTTTCCCATAACAAGCCAGTCATTTCTGCAAAACCTCCATGGATACCCCACTGTCCAAATAGTTCTACAATTGAGATTGGCACCTTTCCTAGATGGATGGATTGTGTAAATACCTTTCGTGTACAACATAAGGTGTCTAAAGATAGTGGGTATATTTTAGACTGGTCTCCAAAAACTGATAAGAGACAATTACGAAGAAATTCTGCTATGACTCCTTCAGGATTTGTTAGTAATATTTTAACTTATAGTGAAGGTGGTGTTCAAAAAGATGTTTGGTGTTTAGTTGCTGCCTCAGAATTCTTACATTTTACAGACAAGCCTTTACCAAAATTTGTTGGCAAGAACTGTAAAGAGGGATCTTGCTATGGCTTACAAGCCTGTGTCCAATATCCTTATGTTTTTTTTTTTTCTTTTTTTTTTTTTTTTTTTTTTAAAGAGAGAGTGAGAGAGATAGAGGTAGAGAGAGAGAGAATTTTTTTAATATTTATTTTTTAGTATTTGGCGGACACAACATCTTTGTTTGTATGTGGTGCTGAGGATCGAACCCGGGCCGCACGCATGCCAGGCGAGCGCGCTACCGCTTGAGCCACATCCCAGCCCCAATCCTTATGTTTTAATTATTGGAAATGTAAAAGTTAAATGGATAGATGACAGATATATTGTTACTTGTAATAAATGTAACCTAACCAATTGTATTACTAGGTATAATGGAGGAAAAGGAGTGCTGATACTACATCAGCCCTCTTTCGTTTTATTGCCTGCTAATATTTCAGAGCCATGGTATGCTGATACTGGTTTACAAGTCTTGCAGCAAATTCATGCCCAGTTAGCAAGACCTAAACATGCTATTGGAGTTATAATTGTTGGTGTTTTGGCGCTAGTCTCCTTTATTGCCTCAACTGTCTCTGCGTCTCTGACATTGTCTCAAAATATTCAACATGCAAAATTTCTTAATAATTTAGCTCAAAATACTTCCAAGGCTCTGCGTAATCAAGTAAATATTGATGAAAGGATTGAGACTAAATTAAACGCCTTAGAGGCGACTGTTATAGACATAGGTAATGAACTTTCAGCCTTAAAATTTAAGGAAAGGCTTAAATGCCATGCTAATTATAAGTATGTTTGTGTTACAGCTGCCAAGTACAATGCTTCTCTCTGGGATTGGGAGAAGGTTAAAAACCATTTGTTAGGTATTTGGCAAAATAGTAATAATATCTTGGATATTCTGGGACTTCATCACCATATCCAAGACATTCAAAATAATAGAGCTGATTTTTCAGATCCTTCTTCTTTGGCAAACCAAATATTGAAGGAGTTGAATGGATTCAACCCTGGAAACATTCTTAAACACTCGGCCTGGTACATTATTGGATTATTCTCTTTGCTGTTAATTCTCTTTTGTGTTGTAATTATAGGATGGCGAGTCTTCAGAACAAGAATACAGAAACTCCAAAGAGTGAACCGCTGCCTCATTTTTAAGAATAGAAAGGGGGAATATGTGGGGAGCCATTCTCACGTGTGACTGGGTGACTCCCGGTTTGGGTCTGAGGCATTCTGGCTGTGTCGGAACTTTCCCGGCCCTTTCCTGATGAGAGAACCAGTCCGTGTGGGGGTGTGACTGACCACTGACCCCGGCGGCCCAATCACTGACCCTGACCTTGGAGTGCGGCCCCCCCCTCAACCTTCATTGGATGGAATTATCCCCTGAATTTCTTGTTCCCCAATAAAAGGCTACTCCCTGGCATGTTCACTCTCTCTCTCTCCTGCTAGCCCTGAGTAATCCTTGCTGCCCTGCTGGGCGGTTAGAGGAGGGAACCAGAGAGGGGAGCCGTCTCGGACCTGGCAATAGAAAAAGGTAACTGAGTCTGTGTGTTTTATTTCGATCTCTTCTAGCTAACTTTTATGCCAAGAACCTCATTAATGAAACCATTGTGCTGGCCACATGGTGGAATGGACTGCTGGGATTTTTGTACCTTTTAACTATTGTGAATAGTACCATTATGAAAATTCATGTACAAGTTTTTTTAACAGTGTAATAATGCAAGAAAACATATAAAAACCTAATGATTTGAAGTAAAGAAGAAAAACTAGTTTATTCATAGCCAGCATGATAGTGTATTAGAAAATCTACAAAACAACTGTCAGTCGATCATTGGTAAATTTGTCAAAGTCACAGTGTACAAGAATAATATGCAAAGTTTGTTGTATGTCTGTATACCAACAGCAAACAATTAGAAATGGAATTTTTAAATTCCTTCAATAGCAACGCTTAGTACTAAATTTGACAAAACAGATGGAAGATCGCTACACTGGAAAAAAATCATTACTGAGAGAATTTGAAACTTAAATAAGCAAGAGATGTCCATGGCTTTGAGAGCTAAAATTGATCAGGTATCCACTCTCTGACTCAATGAAATCCCAAATAAAATTCTAATAGGTATTTTCTAGAAATTGACATATTGATTCTAACATGTGTATGGAAATGTAAGGGATATAAAAGCCACCATTATTTAAACAGAACAACAAAGGTAAAGGTCTAACACTGCCTGGTTGCAAGACCTATTATAAAGCCACAGTAATAAAGACAGTATTGTATTCCCTTAAAGACAAATAGCTCAATAGAATGGAATAAGGAATCCAGAAATAATCCCATACATACAAGGTTAACCTTCAACAAAGATCCCAGAACAACTCAATGAGGAAATGAAAATATTTTCAGTAAGGTGAAATAGCTGGATAAACAAATGAACAAAACAAAAAAGAACTTGTTTGTACTTACTCTGTTTATTTAACCATTTTATGCCCTTTATGGTTAAATAAACACAATACATTATTTTGTAATTGTTATGGGACATTCTAAGAGTACTGGCCTCTGAACATATTATATATTTATCAGCACACTTTACTCACAGAAAAGAGCCAAGAAAAACTGCAAAAGGTAATTGTGGTGAAAAGGAAGGAAGAAAGGAAGAGAAAGAGGGAGGAAGGGAATACTGACCATTCATGCAAGCTTCCTCCTGTCGAACCAGAATAATGAGGGGCCCTTCATCAAAGATATTAAACAGAAACTCAAGGTCATTTGTCAGGGTTGCAATAGAAAGGCATCCTACACTGGGTGGAAGATGAAATCCATTACTTTCAAAGTTAAGATTCCATGTGACTATTTTTTCAGTAAAACTAGTGATAAATAAAAACTTGATCATTTTTAAAGTTGAAGATGTATTAGATTTGATGAAATAAGTAAAGGTAACATGCTTAGGGCACCATTGGAAAAATACCTAAGTGTTGTATGAGTGTCAACCAATATTATAATTACTTTATGTTATCATCTTTATTTATTATTATTCCTCAGTTATGACTAAGCAAATGCACTCCTAACAAACATGTCATCAGAGAATGCACATCTTTTCAAACATTCACAAAAAAATGACTTAGTCCAAAGACAAAGAAGAAATCTCAGCAAAAAATCCCTCTATTTATGTTTATCAAGCATACTGGAATAAAATTAGAAATCAACTAGGATAAGTAATGAGAAAAATCTACACCTGGATATAAGAAACACTCCTATGTAGCTATTAAAGACAACGAAAATTACTAACTATTCAGGAACAGATAGCAATGAGAATGTTGCATATAAAAACCTGATGATGGGCTGGGGCTGGGGCTCAATAATAGAGCACCTGCCTGGCATGTGTGAGGCATTGGATTTGATCCTCAGCACCACATAAAAATACATAAATAAATAAAAGGTATTGTGTCCATCTACAACTAAAAAAAAAATTAAAAACCTGATGATGATGCAAACTTCACAAGGGCAGGAATTTTTGCCTGATTTTCTTTTTCTTTTTTTTTTTTTTTTCTTTTCTGTATCCTAAAAGCCTAGGACTGTGCCTGGCATAGAATAGGTGCTCAATAAATATGGTTATGGAATTCAGGTGAGGCAAAGCTTAGAAGAAAATGTCTAGTGCTCACGAATTTATTAGAAAACAAAAAAGGACAAATAACGTTAAGTTTCCAATGCAAGAAATAAAAATAAACCCAATATTGTAATTATTTTATTGTCATCCTCATCATCTTCTTCTCTAAGTATGATTCAGTTATGGACCACCATATGCATTCCTGACAGGCATGCCAACAGAGAATGCACAGCTTCTTCAAATACACAGACAAGAAAGGAAATAAAAGTCAACATTAATTTTTAAAAAGCAACAAAAATAGAGGTAATCAAAAGCATGGTTTCTAAATAAATAAATAAAACAGATAAACTTTTACCAAGTATGATTAAGATAAATTAGGGAGTTCCAAATTAAAATCAGAATCAAAATCTGGGCTATAACTTTTAAGCAAAAAGGGAAGTACAAGGAGCTGTGGTTGTGGATCAGAGGTAGAGCACTTCCCTAGCATACATGAGGCACTGGGTTCAATCCTCAGCACCACATAAAAATAAAATAAAGATATTGTGTCCATCTATAACTAAAATATAAATATAAAAAAGGGAAGTACAATTGTAGATAGGGAGATTTGTTTAAATATTTTTTACATTATAGATAGACACAATACCTTTATTTTATTTGTTTATTTTTACGTGGTGCTGAGAATCAAACTCAGTGCCTCACACATGTGAGGCAAGTGCTCCACCACTGAGCTACAACCCCAGCCCTAAGGAGATTTTTTTTTAATTTAAAAAGGATACAGTATGCAACTTATGCATGTTAACCTTATATTAAAGAGGGAAGCTTTTGAGAAAAATATGAATTACCCAAATTAGCAAAGAGAGAAAAATTGAATAGATCAAAACTATAAAAAATTGAATATTAAAAACTTCTCTCAAGAAACAAGACTATACTTAAACATACTTAATTTCATTTGTTAGAATTATTTCTGTAATATAATTAATGCCTTTTTTTGTTAGTTTTTGTACTGGGGATTGAACCCAGAAGCCAGTAACCACCAAGCCACATCCCCAGCCCTTTTTTATATTTTATTAAAAACAGGATCTCCCTGAGTTGCTTAGGGATCACTAAGTTGCTAGGTTGGCTTTGAACTTATGATCCTCCTGCCTCAGCCGCCTAAGCCACTGGGATTTCAGGCATGTGCCACCACATTCAGCTAGTAATGTAATTAATTCTAAACAACATATATTTTTTAATTATACTTCTCTAAATAACCACTAGGTGTACTATAATAATATAGTAATTATGCAAACAAATTTCTGATAATATGTTGAGAAACCACCTAAGTGACTTTGGGAGGTTACCTTAATCCCTAAAATAAACTACACAAAACAGGGCATAAAAATGAAACTTCAGATCTTCCAGCAAGACTGCTCGGGAACCCTGGTGACATAAGTTTCAGTTTCTCTCTCCAATTCTTGGCTTTGTTTCCATGATATTGGCTCCATCCTTAACATAATCTTCTCCATCTACCAACATCTTCTAGAAATCCCTGAAGACTCAGGTGAAGATAGTCTTTGACCCCAAATCACTAGCCCAATTTTCATTATATCTTACTAGTTCTGATTTAGCCAGTGCCTACCAAGGAACAAAACATTATAGCTAGATAAACATAACTGCCTTGAACCTGGACGTCTGGCATGAAGTTAACAATTTAGGAAACACATGGACCAAGAGTGACTTCTCAGAAGGAAAGAGGGAAGGGATAAAGGTTCTAGAAGTCTAAATGGATGTATGCATTCTACAGGTGTTCACTATAAAATCCATATCATCTCTTCCTGAATTAATTATACCTATCAAGACTATACTTCTCACTTGCAAATTTGTAAATCAAATTATGTTGAAGAATTAACCAAATCAATGGCAAAGCCAATGAGAATCTAACAATTAATGTTACATTAGCCTAGTTTAGGAAAAACAGTATTTAAAGATAATATTTTCAATTCAAAGAATAAGAGAAGCCCTTTGGGAAATTGAAGAAACCCTCTAATATTTTGAAAAATTACCTTCTTTATGGAAGATTTCAAAAGATAAACACTATGCAAGTCCCTAACCTTAAAAAATAAATATCTTGAGCATTCTATCTCTCTCCCTCCCCCGCCCCCACTCCTTCCTGGTGTGATGTCCTGAGCTACTTTCCTCTGCCACATCCTTCCACCACGATGTTCTGATTCATCTCAAGGAATGGAGCCAGCTGTCTATGAACTGAGACCCCTAAAATCATGAGTGCCAAAGAAACTTTTCCTCCTTTAAAATTGTTCTTGACAAGTCTTTTGGTCACAGCAATAAAAAAGCTGACTGAAACAGAAATTGGTGCAAAGAAAGTGGGGTCATTGCTGTGACTAACCTGATCATGTAGTTCAGAAGCTTTTGGAGGTGTTTTTTTTTTTTAAGTTCAGAAATTAATCTGGAAAAACTTTAAATTGATGTAAGCAGAGCTTAATGGGCAATTCTGATGGGAGCTCAAAAGACCAGCATGCCAATAGGACTGCAGACAGTAAAGACTGGGTTCACAGGATTTCAGAGGAGGAGAGCTCTATTGGAAATTGGACTAGAGGCAACTCATTTTATGTTCTGGCTAAGAAGTTGTCTATATTTTCCCCTTGTCCTGAGACTTTGTGTGAGGCTTAATTTAAAAGGGACAGACCAACTAATCTGATGAAGGAACTTTCAAAGCAGCACAGCCTTCAGTGGGTGGCAGGGGTGTTGCTGGCAGTTTTTAGCCAAGCTTATTGTGATAATCAGGAGCAGAAAGATTTGAAAAACTTATATTTGAAAAGTGGGAGTAAAACTGTGGCTAAGGAAGTTGCAGTCGGTTGAAGGCATTATAGCCACTAAAGAGACGGTTAAATACTTGACCGAGAAACAATAGGAAAAATGGACTGAGGGTATCTCAGGAA